ATTCTTCTTCCATGTGGTCTGAATTCCTTTGCAACAGGGATAGATTGTTCCACTGGCTCAATATTCTACCAAGCTTTTATTTTTTTGAGGTATGGCAAAAGTAAGGTTATGTGTCAGTTGTTCTGGCTAAAAATCAAGTTTTTGCACCAACAATGGGTCAAAGATCACTATGGGAATTTTAGTGCCTTTTTCCCCAGTAAAAAAATAATTGATTTGGAAATTCTTGCAAAATAAGACCTAAAAGTTTCATTAAAACCTGACAAGTATTTCATTTTTACAAGAAACTGGACTCTCAGGTGACATCCAACAGATTGACAATGCTCGAAAGACCGCAGTCATAGACAGGGAACTCTCAAGACTGGGCATTGACATCGCCTGCCTGAAAGACTTGTCTGGCTGACAGTGGTTCCATCAGAGAGGCTACTTTCTGGCAGGTCCTGCCACAGGATGACCCAAGGCAACACAGCATAGGTTTCGCTGTGAAGAACTCGCTGATACCAGCCATTGAATCCCCAACTGGCAGATCTGAGAGAATTCTAACACTGTGCCTCTCAACATCTACAGGTTTTGCCAACGTCCTCTGCATCTACGCGCCAACACATTGTGCCACCCCAGAGGTCAGGGACAAGTTCTATGAGACACTGGATGAGAACCCCAATACTGAAGGATTATACCTACTAGGAGACGACTATGAAACTTGGTCCTTCTGCCTCGGCCGTCAGGGCTTAGGCAAGATGAATGAGAATGAATAGTGGCTACTGGAACTGTGCTGCCACCATGGACTATTCGTGACGAACACCTACTTCAACTGCAAAGAACGCCACAAAGTCTCCTTGAGACACCCCTGTTCTCGACACTGGCACCAGCTCGACTGTGTCATCACCAGGCATGCAGACTGCAACATGGACCACTCACTAGTAGGCTGCTAGGTGAGACTGACAGCCAAGAAAATACACCACGCCAAAAGCAAGGGCCTCTCTCACATCAATACCTGTCGCTCCAATGACCCTGAGAGGTCACGTCACTTTCAAACCCCCTTTAGCACGAAGGTTGACACATCCTCCTCCAATGCCACTGACATCGACAGCAGATGGTACCAAATTCGTAATGCCACATGGGAAAGACGGGATCCCACCAGAGGTTCTGAAGAGTGGCAAACTAGCTCGACTGCAGCATCTCCACAAGCCCCTGTGCCTGTGCTGGAAGAAAGGCCACGTCATTGTCACCCTCTATGTGACTGCAATAACAACTACTAAAAATTGTATGTTATTTTACTAGTTCCGGTGATACAAAGAGAAACAAGGATTTTTTAAAATCAAAATTCAGAATGTTCTAAAAAGGAAAAAAAAAAAAAAAAAAAAAAACTTTGGTCATTCCTCTTAATAATAAACATTTAGACAAAATTTTGTTTTTGTCATGATTAGCATCTTTTTCATCATGCTATGCATTTTTTTTTTTTTTTTTAGTGATCTCATGGAGGTACCTAAACTAGGATATTTATAAAATCTAAATTGTTTGAAAACTTTGTTTTTAAATTATCAAAATCCATAAATTTTTTAAATAAGCATTTACACTTATTTTAATCCAATACCATAAAAAAAAAATGTATATATTTAGTGAAATAGTAATGAAATTAAGTAAAACTTAGTTTAAAATTTTGAAGGGATGATTTGCAAAGAAATAAACATGATGAATATACTTTTTAATTTTTCTGGATTATAGCTTTTTTTTTTTTTTGTGCTTGAAAACTTTAACATTGACCCTTCTATCAATTTCTTCTTCAGCCCAGTCTTCTGTATATCAGTGCCAAAGGTAAACAATTCTGGAACTGCTCAGCATCCCAGTCATTGATGAATCTTCTTACTTTATTCTGCTTGGCCTTGATGACCTCACTTATCCTGGATACATAAACATTAGGTGCAAGCTTCTTTCTTTCACAAAATTCACCTCACTAACATAAATGTTCACCACGGTAGATGCTTGTTCCAAGCCATCAAACTTCCAGAGTTTCTTTTAAACAGGCAGTTATTAGTTGTTGAAATTATTGCAGGTATATATTCTTTTGACAAGAAGTTATAAGCTCCTGACACATTTGTGAACTCTTATAATTCCAAAGGAATAACAAGACACAGAATTTAAACAAAGAAATCTTAACAAATATATTGTCAGGACATTTTACAAAAAGGAAGATGAGAAATGAAAGGTGAAAAGTTCAAAGCAAATTTAAGTGTCTGTAGTTGATTACTCACATTTTTGCAGGAGTGAAAAGAATATGTCTTGTTACCGAGAAAGAGATGGAGTCTTTCAAATCTTACCGCAGTGAGATTTTATTAATCAGGAGACAGTAATCCAACAATATTACTGCTAGATTAAAGATTCTCTTATGAAATTTGATTTATTATTTATGTCTCTAAATGTCATGGCCAACATACAGTGTGACCACTTTGTTGTTGTTGGAGGTATTGAAACTTTAGCATGAGGACATGTTTGTTGGCTTGCTTTCATTTGTGTCAGGGTGTTTGTGTAATTTTTTTTTTTTTCCAATGTAAGCAGGTTTAAATGATCAATTGATACAATGTGTTTTATTTTTTGAATGGTAAGACATGTTTCATGTCGTACCAATACTTTATATGGACCTGAATAATATAGGAAGAATGGTTTCTTGACCACATTCTTAGGAAAGATATACTCGCAGTTATGTAGATCTGCAAATATAAAAGATTGTTTGGTCACACATCTAGTTGGTGTAAAAGATAACCTATTCATTTTTGTCTTTTAGTTTGTTGACAAAGTCCATAGGTGGGTGGGGGGATACTTTGTCTACCTCAAAATATTGAGGAGGTAATATCAGTGAGATTCCAAGAATGATGTCTGCTGGTGTTCAGTGTAGGTCTTCTTTTAAGGTATTTTGTATTGGTAGAGGAGAATAATAGGTAAGTTATCTACCCAGTTGTAAGGGTCAATCTTTGTGGCTAGGGCAGGTGTTTAGATATGCAGTAGTTTGGATATATTTCACTCAGAGCAGGCTGCCAAATTCCTTGAAAAGTATGGATTAAAACTGATCCACTGTCAGTAGTGATCACAGATGATATTCCAAATATATTGATCCAGTTGTCCAGTACATCTTTTGCAATATTCTCTGCAGAGCTATTTGGAATAGGAAAGGCAGCAGACCAACTAAATTGATTGGTTTTGTTTACAGCATATCAACCTCAATGGGTTATTTAATGTTGACAAAATTTTCTTTGTTGATAATATTTTTGATTCAAAAATATATTTCTGGTAATAATTTTCCTTCGTTGGTAATATTCTTTTTCAAAAAATGTATTGCTGGCAATATAAAAAAAAAAAATCGGTCGATGGCAATATTCATTTGATCTCAATTTGGATTGTTTTGTTTTAGGTTTGGTTTGTTTTATGACAGATAAACCTCAATGGATTATTTAATGCCAACAATTTGTATTGCTGGTAATTTTTTTTTTTTTTTTACCAGCAATACATTAAAAAAAAAAGATTTAAAAATTGCTGCTAATGTCTTGTTTTTCTCTCCCCAAAAATGTATTGCTGGTAATCTCCCCCCCCCCAATGTATTGCTGCCATTGTTTTGTAAGGCATTATATAAGTTCTTAGTTAAGGGGGATGTTCAGAATGCTTTGAAAGGCGAGCTCAGTCTGACAAAGCTGGAGGCTTGCTGCTTATGGCCATGGGTCCCCAGGTTGAAATGTCTCAATAATACTGAGGTATTATTCACCTGGCTGGGTCACCAAAAACTTCATTCAGCGAGTATGGTAATGTCTTCAAACTGCCTTCGCTGCAGTGGGGAGGTGGAGGTCATAGGCCATGCCTTCTTTCATTGTAGTGTCATAGCTCTGTTGTGCAAGTTTCTTGAAGGCATCATGGTTTGCATGCTGCATGGAAAGTTCTTTGTCCTAGATCCCAGTTCCATTTGCAGCAACATAGTACCGCCGTTGACTAAGGCTGAAGACTATGTATTCCTTTGCTTACTGGGGGTTATACGAGTCGTGATATGGATGATGCGACAGAAGGAATACCATGGGGCCAGAGAAGTTTCTCTTCCCAACTGATCCTGTTCTTTAAGCATCACAAAGTCAAGATCCGGATGGAAAGGAAACGACTCCATCCATTGGAATTTGGGAAAAGGTGGGTCAGTCTTGAGTATCTCTGCCAAGTGAAAGGTGCTGACTTGGTTGGGTTAGGGTTATTGGCAACCCTTCCTTTAATAGTTTAGGTAGTTTTAGCTTTTAGTGTTTTTCTCTTCAGTCAAGTTAACTTAGCTAGAGTATGTATGCTCATAATCCCCTTTTATTTCTGCCCCTATTTTTTTTCTTTTGTTTAATTGCCAATCCCACCCATAATGATATGTGGATAATGATATGTGGATAATGATATCAGTTCTCTGGTGGGTGTGGAGCACCCTTTGCTTAGTGAGTTTGAATGAGTGTGTGCTTGTAGTAAGTGCATGGCACGTATAAATGTTTTAAAAAGTCCTGCTTTGATTTCGTTCAGTACACTGATGTTTTTGCCACAGTTAGTGCTGTGTGTGTGTGTGTGGGGGGTATGTTAATGACATTATTTTGTTTAGTTTCTTGTATAAAGTTTTGAATTGTTTTGTAAATACACATTGGGGTTTTTAGATTTTTTAAATTGTTATTTTATTCCTCTCCCCCAACAGACAATGGATTGTACATATGGGGACCATTTAAGACTGCATAAAATTTCTGAGGCATTATGGTGGATGGAGTAAGAATGGTATGTAAGAATGTGTTTTGGTAGAAGGAATATTGTATGTTTGGGTCAATATTTGTGGCTAGCTAAGTTATACTGTAAGACAGAAGGTGACCATCCTTTTCCCCATTTGTACAATAAATATCATCGCTTCTCAGCCTTTTGGCTAAGATCAAAGTGTAGAATCATTGTAGCAGATGGCCAGGAGGTTTCAAATCTTGGGTTGGAATATCTCCAACTGTTCATCCGAACAGTCAAAGTAGACTGCCAGGAGGCACCCACCCCCTTATTGGAGTTCCTGTGACGTCGTTCCCCTGTTTGAGAGTGGGCGCCATGGCGGAAACCCACATGGAGTACCCTTCCCCACCAGTTTTAACTCCAGATGCTAATGCACCTGAGCAGTTGCCTCCCAAGGAGGCATCCAGCATTACCCTCTAAATGGAAGTCAACGCCTATTCCTGGCTTCAGCTTCCAGGAATACTTCAAAAGTCGGGCTGACCTTGGAGCCACTTGACATGGAAAAGTTCCTGAAGAGAACAATTTCAATCTTTGTGGTAGACAAAAGTACCAGGAGAATTTGTCGATAAACGAAGGACAATGTTTTCAAAGCCTCGACTCTGGGGTTTGTGCCTCAGCAGATTGTTCGGGGCATCGGACGCTTTATGTGGGATGTGCTGCTGCCCTTGCCAGAAGACTCCATCTCTATGTTAAATAGAGATCTAATAACGAGAGATCTCATCCTCATGACTGAGTACAGGGGTGGTTGTCTACAAGGTATCTGCACAAGTGAAGGGTGAGGCACTGGCTGCTTATTTTAAGCAGTTTGGTCAAATCCTCAGCATCTCCTCTGATGTCAGGCTCGGTGAATGGAGCTTTGACATTATGCTGTGCAGGCGGGCCTGCCTCAGACCACCAGCCAGCCTCCAACAAAAATGCCCGAAACTTCGAAGATGCTGACAATGAAAACCTGTTACTGCCGCCCCATTGCCTATAGCAGGTGAAGGGGATTGGAAGGTTGTTGGCAAAGGAAATAGGAAAGCGAAAGCAGCAACATATCCGACCACTAAGCAGGTCGCCGAGGTTTCTACCCCAAGCAGCTGTGATGCCCTGGCCTCAGCTACCAGGACGGATCATTCCCACCCAGTAAAAAGATCCAGCGGGTCAAGGTGATGGCTGACTTGGAGAAGCAGCTGGCCCAACCAAAACCTGCACCATCTATGACAACACCACCATCATTGACACCATTAAATCATCATCGACAACATCATCACCACCAAAGACTGTTCGCCCCCTCATCCTCTCCGACCAAAACAAGGACAATATCCCCGCCTCTAACAGCTCCGGTGCACTAGGGGGAAACACCTACCAAAAAAGAGTGTGCAGCCCCAGGGAAGAGACTGAGGAGCCCCTTGGATGATGTCGGCAGAAGGTGAAACTACTCTATAACATGGGGAAGAACGAGATGGCCAAAGTGTTTGGCAGGAGGACTTGTGATTTGAAGGTCCTCCTGTCCATGAAAAAAATGTGGGGAGAAGGATCTGGAGGATCCCAACTTTCCCCATGCAAAGCTGGTCCTCTCTGTTGTATGAATAGGTTTGGGATCATGGCAGGCAATCGAAGAGACAAAAAAGACTTTCCAGGATACCACACCCATCAGGTAGTTTTAGCGGGTGATTGGAATGCCATCCTCAATCTAAATTTAGATCGTAGCGGGGTAAGATTGGGTACTTACAACCCAGATGTTAAATCATTTCGCGACTTTATCGACAGATTTGATCTAGTCAAGAAGTTCAGAAATGAGCATCCTGGGGCAGCAGCATGGACTTGGACCAATAGGTTCATACGAGCTATATCGACTGGGTTGTAGGAAGGAGAGTCGACGTAGGGCTCTTAGGGTGTCCAAGTTTCCACTGAATAGTTTCCTTGGACCATAGGGTGCGAGTAAACTTAGATAAGTCTAAGCCTAGACTGACTGGTTACTGGAAGTTCAACACATCTTTGATAGAGTTGAAAGACAATCAGTTATTACTAACCATACAGAGGGAAATGACGGGGAGTGTCGTTGGGAATAAGTGGTGGGGCCATCTCAAGTCTGTCATTAGATCCTTTGCAGCTTATTATAGCTGTCGGCTCAACAAAGACAGATTAGTAGTGCAAACGGCAACCAAAGTTAGATTAGAGGGTGCCATCCAATCGCGAGATTGTGTGAAGGTTTCAGTAGCTAGAGCCAAGCTCTGGTAGTTAGGGTTAGGTTAAAGAGAATGTTTGCTGAGGCAATGAATATGGCTGCTGAACTGCAGCAACAGGAGTTGTGCAGTGCTTCGGATCGATATTTCCCTAGTGTCACATCACTGGGTGGATGACAAGTGACTACAAACAAAGGCATCTGAGAGGCCTTCCGGCCTTATTTCCGGGACCTCTTCTCCAGAAAAACCGAACTGAGTTCTGCTCAGTTCGATACCTCTCTGGCTGACTTTCCTCGTCTCAAGACAGTAGAAGCGGATATGTGTGAGGGGACCATCATGGAGGAGGAAGTCTAGGAAGAGCTTAAGGTGGCCGGCGGGGACAAGATGGACTTCCCTATGAGTTGTACTTGAGGCTGTTGCCCGTCTTTATACCATTACTGGCTCTGATGTTCACCCACTGGCTGAACAATGGGAATATACCCCAACACTTCACCAGGGGGCGTCATCAAGTTGCTTTACAAAGACAAAGGCGGAGGGGATGGGATAAATAATTTTCGCCCTTTGACTATGCCAAATGCAGATGTCAAGGTTTTGGCAAGGGTCTTGGCCAACCGTCTGCAGCTTCTCCTGCCTAGCCTGATTGGCCCCGAACACTTGTGCTGTGAAGGGCAGGACTATTCAGGATAACCTTCATATGACACACCAGTTCGTTGATGCCCTTTGATTTCCTTTGGAGAGGAAAGGCGTATCTGGTACATAGCGAGGTCTGCTGCCTCCATCCTGCAGAAGGCAGTATAGGCATGCCCAGTGTGAGAATTGTCAATACACGCTGCATCTGAATTTCCTGCAAAGGATGTGCACCGAAGAGGGGGAGGATGAGGAGGACGTTTTCTGGAAGGAAGACGCTCGCCGAGCCTTCCCGTCTCTGGGAAGTGTGCATACGGGAGAGGCGGAGGCAAACCGAACACTTCAAGACGAATACCCTTTCTATGAGAAAAGTCTAAATGCGCTGTGCTGCCTCTTAGAGGTGAAGGATTGCCTCTCCGACACCGAGGCGTTGTCTCAGAAAGCATTATATCGAGTTCTAGTGAGGGTAGAGGCAAAAGACAAACTCCAGGACGAGCTCAGTCTTACGAACAAGGAGTTTTGCTCCATACTGCCTTAGGTGCCAGGGTTGAAATGTCTCAACGACGAGGCATCACTCACCTGGCTGGTGTTGCAATGGGCTCTCTGTGTTGGCAAGAAGCTTTACGCAGCGGGGTTGGTGGCCACGCCAATGTGCGTGCACTGCGGTGACTGGGAGGAGTCCATTGCACACGTCTTCCTTCACTGTAGTGTCGTCCACCCACTGTGTAGCCTGATTGAAGGCTACATGGTTTGCATCTTGGGCGGAAAGTTCTTTGTCCTTGATGCCAGCACGGTTTGCTCCAGTGTGCTGCCGCCAATGTCAAAGGACCGGCAGTAGGTATTCTTGTGTTTGCTGGGCATCATGCGAATGGTTGTGTGGATGATGCATCAGAAGGAATTTCACGGAGACGAGAAGTTCTCCTCTTCTCAACTGGCCACCTTCTTTAAGCATCAGCTTAAAGTCAAGATCAGGGCAGTAAGCTGCGTCTCTTTGTTGAAATTTGGCAAATGTTTGATGAGAGTTTTGCAATTGGTGCATGAGAGGAGCTGACCTTGAGTGGTTGTTAGACCCAACTTAGGAGAAAGGATTTTGGGCCACGCGCTGAAATGTCAGTCACCCCAAACCCACATAAGGTAAGACAGTATGTCGGCCCTTCTCACTTTTCTTCTGTCAAGGTAGCTAACTACCTTGTCACAAATTGGCAGCTACGAGCCCACGTCCACATTTTTTCCCCCATTTTGATCGACCCGGTATCTATCAACGAGACCGAAATCTTTGATCAGATCGACCAGGCTACGGTCGCCCCTTCTCCCAGATGAGCACCCTTTTCCCGATCTATCTTGGGGTCCAGGATGGCATTCCAGTCCCCACTAGAACTAAGCGCTTAGAATCCACCAGGAAAGGCTCCAACCGCCGAAAAAACGAAACCCGCTCCTCCTGGTCGTTGGGCGCATAAACCGCAACGACCCGAAACGAACCACTTTTCACGGCAATATCGGCCACGATCAACCGTCCCTCGGCATCGGTATGCACAAGGTCCACCTTCGCATCTAGAGTCCGCTTCACCAGCAAAGACACTCCTCTGGCAGCTCGGTCCCCATATGCTGAATAGACGACAAAGTCGTTATTTATTTATTTCATCGGAACTGCAAACAAAGTGGGTCTCTTCGATCGCGGCAACATCCACGCCGAACGACAGGAGATCCCAGAGCAGGCGGGCCGCCTTTTTTTCCTTTCCCTCAAGCCATTCACATTCAGCGTCGCTATCTTGACAGACATGGTTTAGGCCTGCAAAAAAGAAAGAAAATTTACATGCAAAAAGCCTCATTCACATACCGGGCGGAAATTTGCGTTGGTAAGGACCCCGACGGCCTGTCCCAGATCCTTAATTCGGTCGTCATACGACCGTCTGACAAGGACAATCCCGCCGACGTCCGTGGGGTAAGTTAGCTTTAACGCCCTATATAAGGAGGGATGGAGCAACACGGGGACCCTCCCAGCACAAAAAGTTTCTTAGTTTGTTAAGGGTGGAATTGTCCGTTTCAACTATACGGATGTCGGGGATGGCTTCCTTCGCCTCAAAGATGTGGTTCCACACCTTCAGATACGCCCCTTCTCCCTCACGCAGGTTATCACTCCCGAGGCCTGTGTTTTTTTATTTCGGAGGTCCTCTATACTTTTTTCCGTCGACAGCGTCCATCTTGTACAGACCTCCTAAGATGGCCTTCCTCTGCTTTGTCAGGCCCCATTTAAAGTCGTTTCTGTCGACTTTGCATATAGACTCAGGGGCCTGCAAACATTTTTTTTTTCTCTCAGGACGGGTGGGGAAATCGAAGAGGTAGATGTGTGGGGCAGGGTGGCCCTCCGAAGCATCTAGGGAGGAGGGAGTGGAGGGAAGGAGGGTGGAGCACGGGACGGGGAGGGAGGGTGGCTCCCTAGGTTTGGTGGCAGCCACCGATCTTCTTGGAAAAGCAGGGACGGAGAGCGACCTGGATCTCTCCATGCCTTCCTCCGCCCTACTACTGCTAGGCTCTTTTTTGTTTTTTATTTTCCTCCTCGTCGTCTTCCTCCCTGCACCTTTTTCAGGGATGAAGCACGAGGTGGGGTTCTGTCCACCTCCATCT